GGGTGGGGTGGGAGGGGCTGGGCGGGGGGCCCCCAGAGCCCACACCGGTCCGCTGTGAGCGCACCTGACACGCCTCTTTGCCAAAGTGGTTTCTGAGTCGGGACTGTGACCTGGGAATGTGACTCCCTGGGCCAGCGCCCCAGAGGCTGGACAGGGTGGTCTGGCAGAGGCCGGGGGCGGGGGGGTTCACCTTCAGGTCCACGGTCACCGGCTGAGACAGGACCTGGTGCTCCCGGACCTCATACAGGTGGTGGAGCCGCAGCAGGACCCGGTGAAGGTCGGGCTTGGCCTTCCTTGGGAAGCCTGAGGGACGGAGGGAGGGGGCCGTGAGGACCCGATGTGTGCGGAACTTTACACCCTCCCTCCCCTTCACTCCACTTTACATCCTCCAGCTCCTGGGAGGCGCCCGCACGGCCTCCACAGGCTCAGAGAGGGGCAGTCCCTCGCCCGGGCCACACGGCGATGCCCACGCCTGGAGAGGCCCACTCCTCCGTCCTCCCTCCTCAGTCCCCTGTCGTGGCTGTGGGCCTCCTGGCCCTGTGCTCAGATCTTCCCGTCTCGGGAGCATTCGCTCCTTCTCTGCCTGAGGCCCGTGCAAAGCGAGCAGAGGTGACCTGTCACTCGAGACGGGAGCGTTTCCTGTCACCGGGACTGAGGCGCACATGGTGCATTGTGGCCTCCACCGGCAGGTCCCTGGTCCCACAGCGAGAAGGGCTCGCTGCTGACCCGAGAGACATACAGCCGCGGGGGGGCGCAGGGGGAGCATGCTGCCGGCACAGGGACAAGGTGGGCCCTTGGTTACGGCGGCAGGAGGTTTGTAAAATTTCTTCTACATGGTCCTGGCGCGGTGGTTCGGGATGGGCCTTGAGCCGAGTGAGGCTTCGGGCCCCCGATGAGGTGGGGAGGGTGAGGAGGAGGGTGAGGATGACAGCCTGCTTCATAGGGGGTCACGTGGCCATGGGAAGGGGGTGCTGCCGGCGGGAGGCCGCCCGCCCAGTGTCTCCTATGATGGGGGGTTGAGGTCTGGGGTTCAGTGTTAGGCAGCCTCTGGGATGAGACCTGAGCCCAGGTCTCCCACATACACTTATTCAGGGACAAGGATGTTACTTGGCCTGTCGCCACTTCTTAATTCCACAAATTCTTCCTTTGTGGGGGGTCAGGTCCTGGGTGGGACTGTGGGGACCAGAGGGTGGCTGAGGCACAGCCAGCCTGCCTCTGAGCTGCTCAAGTGCAAAGGGGCAGAGGAGGTGCAGCTGGAGCGTTGACAGCAGGACCAGTCGCTTCCTGGTAGGTCTCGCCTCCACCGTGAAGCCTTCCCTGATGCCCAGCCCAGGGCTTCCGTCTGATCACTGTCATCGCTGCCTGGTGACTTGACTGCTTCCCCCTCTAGACCGGGAGCTCGGCAAGCAGAGACCTCGCCACACTGGTCACTGCGCATCCTCCAGGCCCCGGCCCGGAGACGCTGGGTTCACAATGAATGGAAGCTCCGGACAGTCGGGCTGCCAGGGCTCTCGCGGAGGGTGACGGGAGTCAGGTGCTCGCGGCCCCAGGGGGAGTCCCTGGAGGAAGCAGGACCAGAGCGCAGCCCTGGGTCCGGCAGGATGTGGCCAATGGTCTGGAGATGGAGGCGGGCTTAGAGGGGTCCAGGGAGAATCACTAGGCAGGTCCTGGGCTGGGGTCCAGGCCCCCTGTCTCTGGGCACTCGCTGTTTCTCTGTGGGCCTCAGTCTCCCCATTGGCAGGTGAAGGGACCAGGTGACCTTGAGCCATGACAACTCTGAGGAGGCCCCTTGCCCGGCGGTGCGATGGGGCCGGGTTGGCAAGGGGAGTGAGAAGGGGGCTGGCCCCGGACCCTGCCTCACCTTTCTGGAGCTTCTGCAGGTGCTGTGTGTGGTTGGAGCTGTAGGTCCAGCCGGGGATGCTCAGGGTCTGCAGGTGAAGGCTTGGGGGCAGCGTCACGGCCTCTGGCTGCCGGGCCGCAGGGCGCTCTGAGTCGGCCTCTGCACAGTCCACGGACACAGCGAGGGGAAGGGCTGGGGCCAAACCCCTCCTCCTGCATTCAGAGCTCTCCCCACCGCGGTCCCTCCCAGCACCTCGACCTCCCAGGCTCCCCCCGGGCAGCCTACACAGCTGGTCCAGAGTCCACCCAGGCTCCCACCCCAGGTCCTTCCCCCCAAATGCCCCTCCTCCCACAGGCCCAGCAGCTCAGATGACGAATCTAAGAGCTGGGCAGACCCTGAATCTCCGGTCCACCCATTGCCAGCTACAGATGGGGGACCACGGCCCAGAGGGGCACTATTTGTTCCAGATCAGATGACGGGCTCACACAGAGCCCTGTTTTCTAGTCAATCCTGGAGCCAGCTCCCCCCTTGTCTGGTCACCTCAGGTCTCTGCTCTGAAGACCCCTCAGACCCTCATCTTTCCGGGAAATGCTCCTTTCAACTCTGGGCTGCAGCTGGAGTGCCATCTCCCTGCTGTACCCCAGGCCACAGTGATTGGTCCAGGCTGGAGTCATGTGATCCCATAGGGCCAATCAGAATCTTTCCCTGGGACTTTAGCATTTGAGACCCAAAGTCCGCGTCTCCGTTCCTTTGTGGGAGAAGATAGAGGAGGGAGAAACAGCCTCATGAAGGTTCCAGCCTCGGTATGCGTTACACCCCTGCCCTTCCCTCGATTTCTCTCACTTGCAACCAACAGAGACTGGAGTGAGGCCGGATGGAGGGAGCTGAGCGCAGCCTCGGAGCTTTCTCAGACACGGCACACGCCCCTCCGTGGGGAAGGCTGCCTTGGCCAGGAAGAACACTGGCGGCCAGCGTGGGGCCTGGAGGGGCAGGCAGCAGCTCCGGGCAGTCCTGGGAG